AGTTCATCAGTAGGACAACTCTGTTCACCGGTATCAAACCCTGTTCCCTCTTACTCCCGCAGCCCCTGCCACCCACATTATACCCCTCTTCCCTTTCGACTTGTTAACCAGTGATCGGCCCCGTCCCGTCCTTCACAGATTTCTTGTTTCATGATTTTTGGCAGCCGGGACGTTGCCTTCTAGAGGGAGGGGATAGTGTTACGGACTCCGCCAGGGCTCGATCCCTGGTCTACCTTTTGCTGTTTCAGCTGCATCCCGTTTTCAGCCTGGCACCCTTTTTCCAAACCCCTCCTTTGTTACCGTAGGATTTTGGACAACTGGCGCCATGCTGCAATTCGGGCGCCACTTTCAAATACTGCATTTTTCAGTTCTGCCCTCGGGGCCTTTGCAGAAATGCCCCTAGTACCGTACGTGTCACCGGTAGTTATACCGGCTCCCCGTACGGTACGGGGCCCGGTCTCGTACCAGTTCCCTGCTGCTGTACTCGTACTCTGTGTGACTTGCTGTTTCGGCATTCGGAATCCAAGACTTCGACTTTGTGCCTTGCCACTTTGTCTGCGTCCGATCCTCAGTCCGAGTCAGTCGTGTCGAGTGAGTGAGTGTGTGTGTGTGCTCTCACTCTCTCCCTCTCTCTCCTCTCCCTCGGCTCACCCTCAGCCTCACGCTCGTTACAAAATCCCTCTTGCAGTACCATTTTTCAAACTGCGAATACTCTCATATGAGTAAGTCCGAAGACTTGTTATTTCTTTTCAAAAAATTTTCTTTCGCAGTTCTATGATTTTCACTACCTGATAATCATTGGCAGTCTGAAGTTCGAAATCTTTTATCATTGATACTTTCACACTTCCAAGGGAGGTTGGGTGACCTACTGAACTTGCAAAACTCGGGATTTTTATTTTCTCAAATTTTTTTTTGCAAAGTTCAAACTTTTCTTTTTTTGATTAGTGGCTCCTTATCCGAGCGAGTCATCCTCACCCACCCCTCCCCACCTATGTTGTTGCCAACTTGCCACCTCTGGTCTTACCTTCTCTATCTGTCGCCGGGTACCCCCTGCGGCGGCATTGGTGAGTTGCCACGACAGCAGGCCACGTCAGCAGACCACGTCAGCACACCATGTCAGCAGGACACATCAGCCGGCAGCAGTGTCATGTCAGCAGCAGGGAGTACCACGTCAGCAGGCCCAGCCTGATCTATGCTTACGCGCTCGAAAACAACCGTTATGGACCAGATGTCCGGGAAAACGGACGAGGCCTATCAGGCCTGGATGCTGCTTCTGATTACCGAAGCTAAGCAACAGTCGGATGCAGTAGCAGCCGCAGCAAAGAAGAAGGCAGAGGACGCCGAGAAGGCACGTCTGCTGGCAATTGAACAGCTGCGCCAGCACGACGAGGCAGCAGCAAAGGCTGCCGATGAAGAACAAGTTCAACGTCGCGAGAGGATATACAGCGGAGAGCAAGCTTTGCTCACAATGGCTACGGATTGGCGGGCCGAGGCCGAGAATGGCAAGATGGAAGAGAGTGAAAACAAGATCGCTCTACTCCTCTCCCATCTCACGGACCTCCTGGCAACATGCATTCCACAACAGGAGGACATCCACAACCTCGACGACGTGATGACTCCAGTCCACAGCCGCCTCCGGCAGCTGGAGCAGCGACCCGTCACCGCCCCCGATGCCAACTTTTCCAACACCTCCGATCGCCTCGAGGCATTGGAGATGGACGTCGGCTCCCTCAAGGACGGCGTGCAGTTACAGTGAACCGCAACGCAACAGTTGGAGCAGCGGATCTGTACTGCCACCAACCACTCGAGCTCGAAACCGCGCGAGACAGCTCCAAAGTTCAACGGCCAGGAGATCTTCTGCGACTCGACGAAGACAAATCCGATTTCATGGTTCCACAAATTCGAGCTCACACTGCAGCTACACTACGTCAAAGAACACAAGCACCACGGGTACTTGTACTCCCGGTCAGGGGGCGCATGCCAAGCATGGTTGGACAATCTCTTGTCCAAGTGCGGAGTGGTAGCTGCCGACTTGCATACCAAGATTAGTTGGGATGATCTGAAGGCGGCGTGGCATAAGCAGTTCCAAGTAGAGCCAGCGGAGATCAAGGCAATGGACAAGCTGATGGTCTTCGAACAAGGCACGCTGCCGAGTGTCGATTGGATTGCTGAGTACCAACGCTTGACATCCGCCCTAGACATCCAAATGGGCTTCAAAGCCATCAAACACTACTTCATCTCGAGATCGTGTCCGGCGTTGGGCAATGCCTTGACTCACGTCGAGGACGACACCGGCAGAACTTTTTGACAAGGCCGCACAAATTATTGTTACGAACAAGGAGGTCAAGAATCTCCCGCGTTTGTTCGCGCAAGGCCTGGGTAGAGATCAGCATCGGCCGAAAGTGGCCGTGGTCGCGGCGGCAACGCCAAACGACCAAACTTGCGAGGTCGTGTCTGTCAATGAAGGGGACAGACTCGCAGCCGCCCGGGAAGGTGGCCGCCCCGGCAAAGGCCGAGGACGCGGCAAGGCGAAGACAAACACCTCATTTAGCCCCGGGCCCGGCGCAACAGCTCCAGCCCCATGGATCCACTTCGATTTCTCCGAAACGGCGTACAAAGCACGCACGAGATTCCACTATTGCCTATGGTGCAACAACGATCTCCATGAGACAGTGGCCTGCCACTCGAAAGACAAGGGCAAATCGGGAAACTGAGCACCGCCGAGAGTGACTCGACGACACTCTCGACGCCTTTGGAACCGGTCACTTCGCGGGTGACCGCCCTTCGTTCCGAGGCACATGCGGAAGTGGATAGTCCTCCCCTTCTTTATTCTTTTGAGGACTACGTTGCCCGGCTCGTTCCTACGCTGGGTACTCGAGCTCAAGGACAAGACGTGTGTGCGGCATCTTCTCCGTCCGGCAACGACAACTTACCGTCTTCAAGTGGTTCTTCATGGGATTCGGCTCGAGAGTTCAACATAGAGGTATTGGACCGGGGATTTCGCATGGCTTCCTCTCCTGACCACGGGCCGCTTGCCGGGACCGCAATGCGCAGTACTATGTGCTCATCTTCACACGTACTTATCCTTCTATGCACCACCAACTTTGCTGACGGATGACGAAGTCGCGGTGGTGGACATCCTTGCGTATGTTACCAAGGTGGCCCGCAAGTTTCGCAATCAGCGGTACGATGACAACAACGCACCGCTCCTCTATGTCCGCATCCAAGTTGGGCAAGCGTCCTGCAGCGCTTTGCTGGATAGCGGCGTGTCTCGGAATTTTATGAGCCTAGTCTTTATTCAAAAGGCTGACCTTGGTGCACAAGATCGAACGAAGGCAAACCCGACGACGATCAAGTTGGCGGACGGAAGGACGCAGCAACTTATCGACCACTACATCGAGGTCGTGCCGGTGTATTTCGCACCTCATGCATGCGAACCGGTGACGTTCGACATTTTGGACACGGACTTCAACATTATTTTGCACAAGCGGTTATCGGGTAGCTGAAAATTCAGGAATGAAAATCCTGAAGTGAGAGTTTTGGGCAGTCTGAAAATCCTGAATGGTTCTGAAAAGGTGAAAGGTCCGAAGACCCTAAAAACCACCTGTTTAGGCAGGCTGCATCCTGAAGTGGTGAAGGGTGTCCTAAAGTGGTCAAGTGAGAGTTTTGGGCAGTCTGAAAATCATGAATGGTCCTGAAGTGGTGAAAGGTCCGAAGACCATGAAAACCACCCTTCACCACTTGAGGATGCAGCCTGCCGAAACAGGTGGTTTTCAGGGGCTTCGGAGCTTTCACCACTTCAGGACCATTCAGGATTTTCAGACCTGAATGGTCCTGAAGTGGTGAAAGGTCCGAAGACCCTGAAAACCACCTGTTTAGGCAGGCTGCATCCTGAAGTGGTGAAGGGTGTTCTGGTGATGAAAAATACGACTGTTGTTAACCTTCTCTCTTATTTTGGGAATGCCTTGGCTTGCAAGTGCGGATCACACGGTCAACTTCCACCGGCGGACTCTTACCGTTTGCGACGCCTTCGGCGCTGAAGTGTCGTGTACTATTCCTCTTCTACACCCTTCGATTCGGTGTCAAGTGGTGACGACCAAGTCATTCCGGGTTACTTGTGCTTACGAGTAGCCCGACGAAATCGGCCTATGTTTCCTATGGACCGTAGCGGTAGCCGACTCTTCACCCACGGCCTTGTCTTCGGACCCCCGTGTGGTGCAGTTGCTTGACGAGTTCGCCGACATCTTCGAGTCACCTACCGGTGTGGTGTCGGATCGGCCAATCTCTCACGAGATCATTCTCGAGGGCGGTGTCGTGCCGCCGAAAGGTTGCATTTATCGCATGAGCGAGGAGGAGCTTACGGTCCTCCGCTCGCAACTCGATGATTTGTTGGACAAGGGCTGGATCCGCCCTAGTAGCTCTCCATACGGAGCGCCAGTTCTCTTCATACGGAAGAAGAACAAAGATCTACGATTGTGCATCGACTACCGCAAGCTCAACGTGCAAACCGTCAAGAATGCGGGGCCTCTTCCTCGCATCGACAATCTTCTTGAGCGATTGGGCGGCGCAAAGTATCTAAGTTGGATTTGAAGTCGGGATATCATCAAATCTCGATCCGACCGAACGATCATTACAAATCTTCGTTCAAGACGCGGTATGGGCATTTTGAGTGGGTGGTCATGCCTTTTGGTCTCACAAACGCCCCGTTAACCTTTCAAGTGGCAATGACCAACGAGTTTCGTGCAATGTTGGACCGGTTCGTGCTGGTCTACTTAGACGATATTCTCGTTTATAGCCGGCCATGGGAGGATCATCTTGAGCACCTTCGACGAATGTTGGAGATGCTCCGCCGCGCCAAGTACAAGGCCAACCGCGACAATTGCGAATTTGTCTGGCAAGAGCTGGAATACTTGGGCCATTTTGTCACACCGACGGGCATTCGTCCGCTATCGGACAAGATTCAAGCCATCCAAGAGTGGCCGGAGCCACGGAACGTCACGGATGTTCGCTCGTTCCTTGGCCTCGCCGGCTACTACCAGAGTTTTATCAAAGGCTACTCGAAGATCGCGGCCCACTTGACCAAGCTTCAATGCGAGGATCGGCCGTTTGACTTGGGAGAGGATGCGCGGGAATCATTTTTGGCTCTCAAAGCCGCAATATTATTTGCGGAGGTCTTGCGCATATACGACCCGCTTTTGCCTACGCGCGTCACTATGGATGCGTCCGGCTATGGCATTGGTGCCGTCCTCGAGCAACACGATGGCGTGGACTGGCAACCGGTCGAGTATTTCAGCAAGAAAGTGCCCGTCGTGCACTCCATTGACGATGCACGCAAGAAGGACCTCCTCGCCTTCGTCCACTCGCTCAAACGGTGGCGGCACTTCCTCCTTGGTCGAAGCCAATTCCGATGGGCAACGAACAACAATCAGTTGGTCTTTTACAAGACCCGAGACACCGTCAACAGCACCATCGCTCGATGGATGACTTTCATTGACCAGCTCGACTTCTTTCCTGATCAAATTTCGAGGAAGTCGAACCGTTTTGCGGATGCTCTTTCACGGCGTCCGGATTATTGTACCACGGTCTATTCAACCTTTGAGATCGACAACGACCTGCGGTGCAGCTTCATCCGCGGCTACCAAGCCGACCCTGAGTTCCGCGACAAGTACGCGAATTGCTCCTCTCCTAATCCAGCGCTTTCTCACTACCAGATCCAAGAGGGGTACTTGCTTGTCCACACACGGGGGAAGGACCTTCTTTGCGTACAGAGTGACCCTCACTTGCGTACACGGCCTCTTGGCGAGTTCCACGATGCTCCCGCCACCGAACACATTGGAGTCAATCGCACAATTGGCCGACTTCGCGAGCAATTTTGGTGGCCCGGCCTTCTCGGCGACGTCACACGCTATTGCGAGTCATGCGAGGTTTGTCGACGCTGCAAATCTCGCAACCATCGTCCATACGACGAGTTGCGACCATTACCGGTCTTGTTGCTGCGAATGGAAGCGATTGCCACGGACATTACCGGTCCGTTCCCCAAGCACAAGACCGGTGTGGATGGGATTCTCACGGTGGTCGACCGACTCACCAAGTTCGACATGTTTTTGCCTTGTCACTATCATGCCAAGGCACCGGAGTTGGCCGGGGTTCTTTACACCGGTTGGATTCGAACCAAGGGTTACCCCAAGGAAATCGTCTGCGACTGCGACACTCGGTTCATGTCCGATTTTTGGTTGGCGCTCATCAAAAGATGGGGCTCATCTCTCAAGCCAAGTTCGGCTCGCCACCCCCAAACCGATGGCCAAACGGAGAGGGCGCATCAAACCGCACAGGTTCTCCTTCGCACTCTCATCCGCCCCGACCAGAAGGATTGGGTTGAGCGGCTGCCGGATGTCGAGTTGGCTTACAACTCGTCCATCCACCCGGCTATCGGGATGTCGCCCTTCGAGTTCGAGCACGGCTCGCCGGTCACTTCGTCGTTGGACACAATCATTCCATGAACGGCCGAGAGCGACGACCATCTTTTTTTTTTGCGTCGGATGCAAGAGCTACTTGTCAAGGCACGCGACCAGATGGCCAAGACGCAGCAATGCATGAGCCAACAGGCCAATCGCCAGCGTCTTCCTTGACCATTTCGTGCCAGCGATCTCGTTTGGGTTTCCGTCGCGGAATTCGGCCTTGAACAAGATATCTCTCGCAAGCTCCTCCCGAAATGGATGGGGCCCTGGCCGATCGTGGCACCCGCTGGGGATGCACCCGAGGGACCTTTCTTCACTATTCAGGTGCCCGCCCACTTGCCCGTCTACCTAGTCTTTCATTGCTCCAAGTCAGTTCTTTACACGCCTGCGGAACATGATGATTTTCTTGGGCGACGTTCGCAAGACCCACCCTCTATGGACGGTTTTCAGGAGGTCGGTGACATCATCTCCCAGCGACGCTACGGCAACAGGCCAACCGAGTACTTGGTACATTTTGCGCACTGCACTCACAAAGTTGACCGTTGGTTGACCCGTGCGGAACTCCAAGCAACAGCTCCGGATGTTCTCGCACGCTACGAACGCAAAATGCAAGGCAAGCTGGTATCTTTGCTTCCACGTCGCACCTATGTCCAAGTTCCACCTTCAGATCGTCAGCTTCACCCTCGACCCGGCTTGACTTCATAAGGAAGGGGGGTTGTTACATGCTGCGCCTGCAACAGGCTGCACGGGCCATTTCCAGGCCCGTGATGTTTTCAGGCCAAAAGCCTGTGTTGTTTCAGCCTGAAAGCCTGAAAACAAGGGCCTACAGGCCCTGTGTTGTTTCAGGCTAAATCAGGGCCTTTCCGGCTGAGTATTTTCAGCCTGAAACTGAGGGCCATTTTTGGGGCCTCAGGCCAAAAGCCTGAAAACAAGGGCCTACAGGCCCTGTGTCGTTTCAGCATGAAAGCCTGAAAACAACGGCCTACAGGCCCTGTGTCGTTTCAGCATAAAAGCCTGAAAACAAGGGCCTACAGGCCCTGTGTCGTTTCAGGCTAAATCAGGGCCTTTCCGGCCCTGAGTGTTTTCAGCCTGAAACTGAGGGCCATTTTCGGGCCCTCATCGGTTCAACCTGCCCTGAAACTCAGACAACAAACCAGGGTTTTAGCACAGGCCATTTCGGGCCTGTTTTCAAGACAACCCCTGGTTGAGCTTCAACGGCAGGGTCTGGCACGTTTCGGCATTGGCAAGAGCAGCCTCCTGGACGGGCCAGCACTATATAGGACTGGCCCGCCCTGCAGGCAGGCAGGTAGTTCCTAGGTACTTCCCAGGCACTTCACGTGCAGTTCAGGAGGCAGGAGGTAGTCTTCAGGATTCGGCAGCAGCACTCTGGAGGAGCGCTGCAGGAGTAGTAGCAGCGTTAGCAGTAGTCTTCAACGCTGGGCGCTAGTAGTGTTAGCTGTAGTCTTCAGCGCTGGGCGCCATAGCAGCTAGAGTAGCACTAGAGAGAGAGAGATTGGGCGGAGGCCAGAGGGACTTACCTGCAGCGCCGTTGCTCCAGCTTCGTCTTCGAGGTACCTGCAGCACAGCGCCATCTT